CATCAGGTCTCCGATCTGGGCACAGACATTATGATGTGAAGTCCCAGGTTAGATGACCAACAGCCTTACATGGAGGGAAATGGAAAGGAGATTATGCAAACTGGCTTAAGTTTCATGTATCGTGGCAGAGATTTGACAAATGCATCTCTCCGGGGCTCACATGCTCTTAGGAGTGACACAGGATCTAAACATGGCACTGTGATTAAGACGAGGCACGTGAGAATCAGAATATGGAATCTGTGTATCTCCCAGATCTCGGTTGTCTCTTTAAACTCTTCAGAACTGGTATGAAAATAAAATTATCAGCAAAAGGTTGCTGTCAAGTCAAAGACAAAATAGATATACGAAAGCTGTGCATGACTCCACAGCGCAGACACTCCTCATACAAAAAGGACAAAATTTTATTGCAGGATCTCACTGAACTGCAGTGTTCAAAACACTGAAATATTACAGAAGTGGAACTAATACGCAATATTACGAACACTGCAAGAGCTCTTAAGTTACAGAAGACAGCGGTGTGTAACACTCCCAGCAGTACTGCATAAAGCTTAGTCAGTCAGGTGCAGTTGTTAAGCGCTGGCTTATAAAATATTTCTGTGGAAGAGAACAGGAGGGAGGTGGCCAAACAATTTCTTCAGCACGGGACCTCTGTTCAAAGAGTGGGTAGCAAACAAAGGACAGCTGCTCACACCGCCTTTGGACAGCTATCTGTACATTAAAACAGCCTGAAAGGGTAGTGAGGCAGACTCCTGAGGAGGCTGAGGGCGGTTTGCTGCCTGCCAGCTCACAGGAAGGTGCCACTGAAGCAACGCCTGGCCGGGTTCAGGGCACGGTAAGCTGGAGGGAACACGGGCAGATTCACAAGGCCTGTCTGATGTGAGGTACCTTCAATCAACAGCTCTAACCATCTCCCTGTTTACTTGTATCATTTCAATTGGCTTCATGCACAGCGGGGTGCACCTCTCCTCAGGGACAATGCCACCTCTTCCAACAGACACGTTGTGCAAGCTCAGTTGCGTGTGTAAGCCCTTGAAAATCTTCTCTTAGAAGATGTTACAGAACTACTTGCAAATTACAAGAAGAAAGCCCAACACGGATTCATAACCGTTTGGCCAAAAGTGAGTTAAGTTACTTTGCTTTAGAAAACTGCGCTACCGGAACTACTGGAAACCTCACAGGTTAGTATCAATGACTAGTAAGCTTTCTCTTTAAATAAAATTAAAGAAAGCCACAGAGAGCTAGTGTATAAAAATGCCTGCATCCTTCTAGCTTTGGCAAATATTCCCACCTAAAAACGTTTACATTAGCTCAGTTCGGCACACATTTTGGTTTTAGGGGCCTCCCACAAGCTGCAGGCGAGGTTACTCTGGGACTGCCATTTGTCCCGCGCCTCCCACAATCCCCACACAGCAGCTCAGATTTGTTATTTTGTGATTCGCTTCCTTACTCGAGAAGGGCAAACGATTATTACAGCCAGTCAAGTCTCACTGTAGTTAACACGACAGTACAAGGAGAATTTTTATGAAGAACAACGTATCATGAATCAAGCCAGCCTGTTTTAGAGGTTACTGTTTGTCTTCAGTAAGATAGAACCCAATTTTTTTAAGAATTAACTGGCAAATGCGTTATTTATACTCAAGATAGCAGATGACATAACATGTTGAATGCTCACAACAAGCTTCACCAATTTTGCAAATTAAGTCACAAATTAAGTCTCTTAAAACGGTAAAGGTCTTCAAGCCGAGTTACTCAGCAACTCCCTTACGAATTAACAGGGAAAGAAAACATATTCTTCTAAAAAGAAGCACTCATCAACTTCTTAATTAAACTGCTTCAAAGCATGTGCAACATAACAGCTTTGTACACGGTTTCAACATTTTAACTGGCAGAAAATGCTCAAAGCTACACTGGAAACCCTCTGGGTTGCAAAGCAGGGGTCAACGATTACTACAGTGGGACCACCCCACAAATCAGTTTGTTGCCACACGAAACACACAGCTCACAGCGATCTTTGAACAGGGACCACGACAGTGGCCGTGTCACTGTAGGAGATTTATGTGTAACAAGTTCATTATTTTAATGACTCCAGCGTTGTTAAGAAAGATTAACAGCAACCCATCCTTCCCAACAGTTACTAACACCTCTCAGAATGGAGTTACTTCAAGCTTTATTTCTAAGGGTGCTAATCAGCAGTCACAAATAACAGTAGGTGTATTTTCAAAACACGGACATTGCATCCAACATTTTTTTAGATTTTTAATATTTCACCACATCTTTCAGCTTTTTACAGCAGGAAGACAGCAGCAGCAAACGTATTTTAAAAGTATGCTCTGCTATGAAATCACAACAACGACGCTGCCCCTAAAGTAACTGCTTTAACAATAGTAAAAATATTTTTAGCTTAGAACTGTGTTAAGAAGAAAAGAAAGCCTACTGAAGGCACACAGACAAAAAACTAAAACTGCCAACAGAAGATTTTGGTAGAATATTTGTCATATGCTTAGAGAGTAGTACAGAATAATAAACATCAGAAGTCAAGAAAAGGAAGCGTTATAAATGGCAATTTATCTTCCTTCAGTCTTTACATTTCTGAAGTTCACAAAAAATCTGGATATCAACTCGACAAATTTGCATTGCTGCTACGCTATAAAAGGGTTACACCTGAAATCACACTTTCCAGGGAATGATCTCCAATGAAGGTGCTATTCTCCATTCCTGAATTACCAGATCCAGTCAAATTCAGCAAGAAAATTTGTGCCAAAGTAATGCTGTAACTTTCCGACTTTGAGATAAACCCCAGCGGGCACACTATGAGAAGGAGATGTAAGATTTTAAATGATGGAAACAACCCAAACTGTGGGTGGCCTTGCTCATCCCCAGTGGGCCTTCTGTCTCCAAAGGTCTGTACCTTGCTCGTGTTTCTACTCCAAAGTCTAAAGACCCATGGCAAGAATCCCAGCCACAATGCCCAGGCCGTGGGCCCAACGATAGGACCCCGCGTCTCAACGGCAGAAGACAAACGAAAAAGTAAGAGTAAGCAAACAGAAAATAAAAAGTGGAAAAAATGAAAAGGAAGGCACAAGCAAGAAAGGTACGCCCCCTGAGCCACGGTTACCTGGGAGAAGCTATTAACCCCCAAACAGGATGCTATGACTCCTGACGTAAAGGAATAGGCGGCCTCAAATCGCTTCTAGTAAGTATGTTAAATTTCAAGCATTCCTTTAAGGTCTGCGCTAAGTTGTACGGTGTTTCAAACTTCGAAGTTACTATTTGCAATGCAAAAGAATCTGGAAGGCTTTAGACATTACACACCTACCTGATGCACCTGTTTTATCTTTATTCTCGATTGATGCATTTTTACTTTTCATAAAATCTTCAAGCTCATCATAATGCACAATGCAAAGCCTCCTCTCGATCTGGTATAGCAAAGCAGGACACATGTATATGAACAGTTCAGGAGATACTGAAGAGCTGGTTTCCAGACCGTAGTACCGTAGCAGCTGGGTAACATTTAAGCACTGCAAGCAGATTGTACAACCAAATTAAATATGAAAGCAACTATTTCATTAAAAACTAGAGTTACGGAAAATTTAGCATATGGTTTGAGAACACAAACAGAAAGTAGAAAGTCTGGCTCACAACATTCCTACGGTGCTAAAACAGGTCTAAGCTGATCTAAGTGGTTTATGATGGCAAAGAAAGAGTAAACGTACCTGCACCGCAAACTCAGTCTCCAAGCATCTATATAATTTTTGATAAACAACAATGAAAATGAGTTTCTGTGTTCTTTACCATTACACGGTACAGGCGGTGAAAAAAGAGTGATGGAAAAGGAGGGGAAACGTAAATCCAAAACAGGTTGTCTAACACTTCTCTTTACCTACCAACCTTCTGCGCTTGGAGTTTCACTTTTTAATTCGGTTTAAAACCTCAAACTTGGCACTCGCTCCATCCTCCTCTATCCTGATTTCCAGTTTAAAACTATGATCTCAAAATATCCTGCTTCTGTAGCCAACCGTAAGGGGGAAGGGAAAGTGTATTGATGGTCCTGGCAGAAATAACGGCTGCTGCAGGGAGAACTGGTCGAGCTTGCACAGGGCTACAGAAGCGGCATCCATAGTGCTTCACAATCTCTCAGGACAAAGAAATTAAAAGCATGGAAAAGACGTAGGTGTTTATCTCAGGAAAGAGTCTCTGGGAAGTTTCCAAAAACTTTAATGGTATTAGATTCAGAAAGAAGTCCAAAAAAGATGTGTGTGTCCAAAGGACTCCTGAATACCAGGAAGGGAAAAACCTCCACCTTTACGCCAGGTATCTCAGAAAGCTGTGCAGATCCTGTTCGCACGGATAAATAGGCAAGCAGATCTCTGAGAAAGATGGGCGACGAGCAGACAGAAATGAAAACCCCAAAAACAAACTCCAAACTGTGGGAGTGACCTCCAGTGCTTTCACTGTGCTACCCAGTCAATGCAAGGGTGGCAAACTTCTGCGTTTCTCAGCGACGCGCGCCTCCGGCTACCCCGCAACAACAGTAAAGGCAACTCACCCTTCTCTGTTTTCACACTCACCTCTTCACGGTCGCGTTCATCTTCGTTATGGTCCTTACGACTCCGCGCTGAAAAGAGAGCATGTTTTGTTACGCTAATCTGTTTATGAGGAGCCTCCCGCTCGCTGGCGTGGTGGTGCCCATCCTCATGATCTAAACTGGAACCTTGATGTCCGTGACCAGCAGAACGATCGCTACTGTGCTCATGATGGTGGACGTGCAAGTGAGACGCGTCGTGCGCGTGATCGTGTTTGTGGACACGATTGTGCTCGTACTGATGACCTGTATCGAGGTCTGAGGCCGAATCCCGCGTCTCGCTGATCTTCTTTTGGTTCTTCTTCTGCTTCCGTTGTTTTCTCTCGGGCTGATCCTGAGTGGTGTTTGTCTCTGTCGAAGGCTCGTGGTTCTGTTGTCCGTGCTCGCCGTGACTGGCTGAATCGTTCCGAGAGTGATGCGTGCCATTATGGTCGTGACGATGCAGACGAGGGTGGTGACGATGGTGATGGCGACTCTGGTCATGAGCGTGTCTGCCACCCTCCTTTACCGAGGGCGCCACTGCATCTCTCTCGGGGTCGCATTTATGGTTTCTCTTTGCAGCCGTACCAGTCGTGGTTTGGTTTTCTGAATCTGCGTGGCTGTGAGGATGGTTACGAGAGTGAGAATGCTTTCCTTCCTGTACTTCCAAAGCATAGAGGTGAGAAACGTGGTCGTGGCCAATATCATCGTGATTTATCATCACGACTTTCACCTCTCCTAAACCAAGGCTTATTAACAGTTTTTCCAGGCCGAAGAAAGATAATCTTCCATTTTCACCGTAACGATCAAATATCTTTTCAATGTAGTATCTTTGCTCATTTTCAGCTTCCAACAGTGAAAATTTACTCGGCACAGACTCTGTTCCTCCGTTCTGGAAGTAGGGCGCGTTCGAGATCTGATAGTCGTTATGGTAGTGTGCGGGTTCCTCTTTAGGACCGTGGTCGTCTCCGTCTTCATGGCAATGATTGCATTGATGAAAGATAAATGTCAGCAAACAAACGATGCAAAATTTTGTGTGCATGTGTACCTTCATCTCCGTTGCCTACAAGAAACACAAAGGGAAGCGCTTTGGTGTAAGAGCAATCTCAACATTCGCGCTGCACGAGTATCAGTCTGGTACTCACTTGTACCAGTTGAGTAGGAGAGTAACAATCGCAGTGTTTTGACCGCAGAAATTCTATCACTGCCCTTTCCTTACCCAACAGTAAGGCTGCGCCTGTGTGTTTGAGCGATGCAGTCTCACACAGCACGCTCACGGGAGGCAGCTACAAAAACAGAGCAGCAGGCCCAGGCAGTCGTAGCAGGACACGTTTTGTGTGCACTTTTAGGAGAATCTGCACTTATGATAACCTATAATACTGAAAGTCTTGTTACAAGTTACAAAAAGAGAAACAATTATTTTAAAACAATACTGTGTTTTCTTATTTCCGAGGATGATGGGCAGAAAACCCAGTTGTTTGTTCTCTAATGTGCTGCTAAAGTACCCCCATGAAACACAACGCCCTATCTTGACTGGTCAGCAGTGGTTTCAAAACACCTTGTCGTAAACCAACTCCAGTGTATTGCTTAACTGTTTGTAATTTTAGTAGTTTTTGCTTAGACGAGTTTACTAATTTCAAATATCTACATGGATTTTAATTTAAAATTAAGGTTATATGGAAAATGACTGCATCTTAAATACTGTTAATGCTGACACAGCATAGCTCAAATTAGCATCGATTTTTACAAATTATATCATCTACACAATACGGTTTTCAATTTAGTATTAAATGTAAGAAACTTACTATTCAGCATCAGGTAATGAAGAGGACACTGCTGAAGTCTCTCTTGTGTTCAAAGTTGAAAACAATTCACTATTTTACAAAATACGACAGCTTTATTTTGTTTACATTTGCTAGCACAAAAATATATAAACCAGAATAATTATTATAAAAGAAAATTTTAAGAAAAATAATAATAATCCAGGTTTATGTAAAAATGTTACCAAACCACAAAGCTAAGGATAAGGCAAGAACTGTATTTTTATGTATTTTCTAAAGACTTATTTTGGGTAGAGAATAACCTCTAAAATACGTATCTAAAAAAAAAACCAACCAAGAAAACCCCACAACCCCAATGAAATATTGAAACACTGCTGGGGTTTTCTAGGACCACTTCCATTGCTCTGCTTGGTACCAATCCCAATAAAATGGGTGACGCTGTCACCAGTTCCGCCAGATACATGTCGATACATGGTGATGGGGCACACAACGAAAAGAAGGAAGCACGGAGCTTCCCTGTCCGTCCGTTCTGAGCAGATTAACAAAGGAACCAAGCACAGAAGTCGGGCTTTTTGCACACAGTTAAATTTAGAATATGACTGAGAAGAAGAGAGCTGAGAGAAAGGAAGAGGACAGAGCTCTGCCCACCCAGGTCTCCGGGCACTCAGATGCTACCGAAACACCGCAGCGACTCCAAGGGCGCGGAGGAACAGGAGAAGAGGTCAGGCAGGCTGGCACCTTTCTACACCAAACAGTTCTAGCTCCTTACACACACCTTGACGAGAGCTGCAGCTGACCCTGCATGCCCAAAGACCTAAGTGACCTGCTCGACGCATCCTAAAAGGCTTTTTCAGGCCAAAAAAGGCAGATTTAAGCTCACTCCAGCTGCTAACTAAAACATGCTTTTCAGCAAACTACAAATGTTTAAAGTCCATGGTAATTTCCTGAAACATTAGCTTGATGTTTTGTGTTTAATCGCTTGCAACCACTCTACCGCACCAAGCAACAAAAAAAGACTCTCTTGGAAGCTCCTATACCTGCAACAAATTGAAAGAGAAAAGGAATCAGTGAAGCTACCTTTTCATGACTTTCTGTAGCAAATAAATGAGGTAACATTGAAGACTGGGGAAAAAAGTTTTCCAGTTAACCTCTACAAAGGCACAATATGAAAATTCATGTTTCACCTGAGCTTCAAAAGCTTGCAAGATTTTTTTTTTTAAAAAAATCCCAGAACTCTCTTTTGCAATACTGACACAGTTACAAATGATCAGAAGAACATCTGTCAAGTGGAGGCATCTGCATCAAAACTGATTCCAGGGACATCAGATGGGTCTATGGGTGACCACAGGACACTCCTGTTTTATTTTTATAAACAGCTGTTCAATCATCAGTCTGGAATTTGTCTCCAGTTGAATCACCTACGCTTCAGTTACTGATTTAAGGGCTGTGACAAAACTTGTCAAGTAATTTAGTGTGATGAGTTCAGCCCCAAAATTCACTGAGATGTTATTTTCATACAGTTCTTTTTACACGTGGGCTCTATTTAAAGCATTATTAATCTCCTTATGTATTATCCCTGGGATTAGTATGGAAACATTAAAAGCATCTCAAAGTACCTTCCAGAAGCTTCTTCCGTTCTCCTGTGAGGGAACAGGTAAGTACAAAGTTGTTACTGGCAGAATAGAAACAGCTTGCAAATCTTTATCCAAGAGTCCCTGGTCTGAGTCAGGCCTCAGATTGTACAACTGCCTGGAAACTCATTCCATAACCTTTAAATAAAGATCACAGGGCTCTCTCTGCCACGGGCTGAGAACCTCATCATCCCAAGAAGCAGAAACATTCTGGCAGTAAGCAACGGTCCGGGATCAGCAGCGTGGCTGGGGACAGGCCAACAGAGCTCCACATTTCCATAGGAACCTGCTGACTTCATAGAATCATAGAATTCAGGTTGGAAAAGACCCTTGGGATCATCGAGTCCCTACATTGACCCTACACTACAAGCTCACCTCTAAACCACATCACCCAACACCCCATCTAAACGACACTTGAACACACCCAGGGAAGGTGACTCAACCCCCTCCCTAGGCAGTCTGTTCCAGGGTCTGAA